GGGAGTTATTCAAGCAAGTCCATATTAACATCCCTCCCCTCGACACAATCCAACATCTCCCAGCCTACGCCAAGATTGGCCCCATAAAAAGTGATGCTCTCGGAAGATGTTAGTATGGTTCTCCTAAACCAACTTCCCCAGAAAATGAAAGACCTTGGTTCTCTTCTCATAAGTTGTGTCATCTCTATAATCACTTTCGATCAAGCCCTACTGGATCTTGGAGCCAGTGTAAATCTACTTTCCTCTATTATTTACGACAGGTTCAGGATCGGCGAGTTAAAACCTACCCCGATAATTCTGCAACTCGTTAATCGGTCAGTCAAGACTCCTTGAGGTGTTATTGAGGACTTCATTGTTAGGATAGAGGATTGTTACTTCCTAGTGGATTATGTCGTCCTAGGCATGACCCCAACCGAGGAACTGAACCAAAACCCGATAATCCTAGGATGTTCATTTCTAGCAACGGATAAGCCACATGGGTTCAGCCTAGCCTCTATTACAAGGCCTGGCCGAATTCACTGTTGAATACAGTGAACCCCTGTGTCCATCAGTACGGGCTCTTAATGGGCCCAACATTTACACTAAATGGTCATTGGTAGGGGTGTCAATGGACCGGTTTTGAGTTGGACTCCATCCAAATCAAAATCCATTTGGACAGATTGGATGAACCAATAAGACATTGAATTTGGACGGACCAATTGGACCTAATCCATCCATAATGAATTTATATTGGATTGGGTCAATATCTGGTCCATTAATAAAAGATAAGAACATACGTGTCAATGGACTAGGTTTGAGTTGAAACCAATCTATGTTAATAGGAATTTGAAAAGATTGGACAGTCTCTAGACCGGTCCAAAATGGTCCAAAATATTCATTGGACCAGGTCCATTTGTAATGAACTCACATTGCATAGGACTGGATTCGACCAAATTCAGTCCAATTGACACCCCTAGTCATTGGGTCTAGCCATCTTATGAACGCCCAAGGACCGTGGGCAGAGATGTGAGATTAGCCCGTCAGGTAAAAGCCCTAAATGGTCTTACACTTAATCTCTCAGCTCATAATGATCAACCACTGCCTGACAAGAGAGGACCTCTCCCTCGACTACAAGGTATAGTGTTGCACTCTCTACTCACATGGATCCCGGGAATTAAAACATTTTTGCAAACATTTTGTGAAACCATAATATATATGTATATCTCTATATAAATATATTTTACAAAACAAATCTCAACAAGTTTGAAATCAACTGCCGACAGTTTAGGTTTCCATTAGAGAGAGTGCATCCCCGATCATTCACTTTGTCTGACAACCTGTCACTATGATCACCCACCCAGGTGAATTCTCGGACTGCCCCAACATACCCAGGTTTTGACCCCCTCTAAGGATCTCACTGATTGTCATATCAAAGACAGCTCAATCCAACACCTAGTGCGGTACCATAATTGAGTCTAGAGGTCAGGTGTAACTTTTTAGTTTTGCCCATTTGTCTCCAAGGTCTAGGGCATAACTGGAAAATGGTCTGATTTAGGGTTTCAAGCAAACTCACACTACATGTGCTTCAAGTCTCACATTGGCAACTGAGACAAGCCACCCCAACCAACTTGGCAACACATTAGTGTCAGCCTTCACAGGATAAACCTCCCAGGTCTATCCAATGACTGTGAATATTCTAAACTAACACGAGTCTCATTAGTGTCCAGTTTAAGAGTATTACATAGAAACACACCATAATAACACGAACCAATTATGTACTTCATTCATTTACAATAAATGTCAAAAGTACATAAATCTGATTGGAGCTAAGGGCATACACTGTCTAACACTTGCCTCTGGTCTTCCTCTTCTCCTTGCTCTTCCCTCTCTCCCTCTCTCTCTGGGGGCCACCCTCAGGTTTTCTCTCTCAGATTTTCCTCCTTTCTTTCTCTTTCTTCCCATTTTCCCCCTGGTCTCCTCTTCTCCCCTCTTCTCCCTACTCTCCCCCCCCCCCCTTTTGAGCTCGAATTATATCAATATTTATAGAGAAAGGGAGGGGGGTCAGGTCTGAATTTGTTCAGTTATAGTGTCTGGGATTCAACAGAGGTTTTTCACACAAATAGGCATAGATTCTTCAAAGAAGTAGATGCCTAATTAACGTTTCCTATTTGGTAAAACCTTTTCTTTGATTTGGGGGTGGTTTTCATGGGTTTTGTGCGTTCAATGGGAGTTTGGGGCGTGCCTGTCATGGAAGTATCGTATTTGGGGTTGTTAGTGGCAGAAAATATAAATTTGATGAACTTTTAAATGTGGTTTTGTCTTTTTTTAACTTTAAGTGGAGTATGTTTGGTATTTTGAGCTTTTTAAGCCTATTAGGCTCAAATTCATTGGTCCATGTGTTTCAATGGGGTTAAGTAAGGAGCTGATGTCAGTCCCCACCCTCTTAAGATTCTAGGTTGGACAGCTGATGTGGCAATTCAATTTGGTGCGTCGAAATGGTATCTTTCTAGTTTAACGGTCAAATGGGTAAATTAGAATGTGAAATTTGACGTGTTAGGGTTTTTTGGGTCTTTGACCATAGTGGTGATGTATGATTGATCAAATAGGCTCAGGATGATTGAGATCTATAGATGACATGTTCAGACCAATGAGATTTGCTGAAATAAAATATTTGTTTGATGAATGGTTAAATGAGAGAATTTTGTGATGAAATTTGGTGGGTTGGCACTTTTGAACATCCTAAATCTAATGAAAGTGATGGATCTTTGATTAGTGGTATAGATTGATTGATCTAGTTTAGATCATAGTCTTAGCTTATGGTTTTCTAATCAACGAGATGGCTCAAATGGAATCTTACTTTTTTAATGGTCAAATGGAGGTGTTTGGTCGTGAAATTTGACATGGAGGGTTTTCTAGGTCTCTGAACACAGTGGTAAGGTCTAATTGGTTATATGAAGTTGGGATGATTGGTGGTAATTAATTAGATTTGCTAAAATAAGATTTAGGCTTGATAAGGGGTTAAACGGGGGAATTTGAGCTACAATTTGGTAGGTAGACATGGATTAGGGTGAGGAGTCAAAAGGATGGTTCTGATCTGAGAAAGATATGGTCGATCTTGGTAATCATTTAGGACCATCAGATTGAAATCTTGATGTCTTTGCGGTTGGTTACCATAGATTCATGTTGGGATTCGCTAGTTGATTGTTTCCTAATGATCTTAAGGTGGTGGATATGTTGGATTTGATTTTGAGGAGTTGGAATTTGAATATTGCATAGATCAGGGCCATTAGAAAGGGAGTTGGCGTGATGAACGGTGAATCTTTGGAGTTTAGTCATAAAAATTGGTGCGTAACTAAGTTGTAGTTTTCCAAGTTTAGGGATGATGTCTGATCAGATGTTGATGTTGATCTGAAGGTTCTTATATGTCCTGTAGATTGTGTCAAAGGAGAGTATTATGGGTTTTGAAAAGTCTCAAGTTGATCTGGTTGTGTTTCTAAATTTTGGGGGTCTAAGAGGATGGTACAAAGAGGTAGGGTGAAAGGCCGAGCAAATATTAGGTGCTAACAACCATCTATCTCCAAGGTCCTAGAAATAAACTAAAAATTAGTCTGAGTTCAATGCTTCTGATAAACACCCACTAGCTATGCTTGGGGTCAAACCCTAGCAGGTAAGATAAACTTCTCTAACTCCTTGGTAGCACACTAGTGTCTTCCTTGTCAAGATAAACTCTCTAAGTATATCCAATGGTTGAGAACATTTTAAACTAACACGAGCCTCTTAAGTGTCAGATTTAAAGGGTAATCCATAGAAACATACTAATATTAACATGAAACAATAATGTACTTTATTCATTTACAAATAAATGCTTATGTACATCAATCTGATTAGAGCTAAGGGCATACAGTGTCTAACATATATTTCTTGAGGTTTAGATACTAAAGAGGCACATTTGAAAGTTAAACCCCTAAAATGAGATTATCCCCAAAGTATAGGATACCTATCGACAATTTACCCTATAATATATATAAAAATAAAAAAGAGTGTCAAACCATTTTGGGATTTCATTCATCACACCAATTGAAAAAAAAATCCAATTGTCTAATCCATTTATGATCAGATCAAATATGGATCCATCCTATCAAATTATTTATATCTATCTATCAATCTATCTATCTTTCCATATATATATATATAATTTGTTTTTTATTAAATTGTCTTAATGTTCAAGTTTCACATAAGTAATCCTCAATTTATTTTCATGAATTTTTAATTCATATTATTGATAATATATAATGTTTTGATAATTTAGTTTATTGATACCAAAGCAATAAAGAAAACTTTAACCACTCTTAATTTAAAAATAAGGAAATGAAACAAGATTCATGTAGACGACCCGAATCTGATTCGATAATAGTTGACATAGGAGGCCCTAGGCGCCCCGACAGCAATCATTTAGATTCAGTTCATTAGGATTTTAAACAGCCAAATTTGATTGTTTGCTCAAGAAAGATGGAGCTTCTATGCTTTCCCATGTCGTCTGACTCGTTGAATTATCAATAAAATTAGTTAAAAATTAAAATTTTCATTTTAACTACATAAAAATTTATATCAATTTAAATGACAACATAATAAAATTATCTACAGTAAGACTATCAGAGGCCGATTCATGAATTGGTGTCTTTGGCCTATTCCAGAATCCATATCATTCAAAAAAAAATGACAGTATTTAGTAGTTTGCGCTTAATAGCCGAAGGCCTAGATGGTCACTTGGCATCCCCTCCAAATCGGACGCGCAGGATCAATCCTGCAGAGCTGCAGGCCCTCACATGCCCTTTTCTCTCCCCCATCGCCAACGAGATATAAATGTAACAAATGGATACCAAGATTTTGTATGGATACATGTATAAATTCTGCATTATAGATTCATGCCCAATCTATTTTATAGTGAGAAACCTGAGCCGTGGTAAATTACCCAAAAAGAATAAAATATAATAAAATAAAAGCGAAAGTATGACCCATGGTAAGAGACAAGATAAACAGGGAAACGCATTGGATAAGCAGGAATAACAGCTACAAACAATTGAGTTCAATATACAACACAGTCTAGAAACTGCAGGCACGACCAGAGATGATCTGGCAAATCTCCACTTGGCAATAATAATGATCTACCTGCAAATGTCAATGTATATTCATTCAAGGCTGCTTCGTTATTACATCGCTCTTTCTTTTCTCCTCATTGACAACAACGAATCACCAGACTGCTGAAATAATTTTACAATTGACATTTAAAATAATTTTATCATAAGAAATATGGGACCCCTGTCCTGGGACCTCTCATCTGGTTGTTCTCCTCTGTTTCGGTGAAGAACTTCACTTCTCTCTCCTGGTACCAAAATAAAACAAAAACAAAAAACAAAAATGAGCGCCGCTGATAAACATGAGTTGCTACAATAAATTAAAGATTAATTAAAATTGTTATAACTATAAGATTGCCTGGAAGGTCCAATTTAGTCCAACAAGAAGTACGGGTTAATTCATCATAAATTGTTCCAGTTTAGTATAACAGTTGGCTTTTCAACAAATTTTCATTTATTTGACGTGTCAATTCTGGGGACTGGAGATTATCAGCTAGGCCACTAGTAATCCAGTATGGCTAGGCATGTTGGTTGGTTCAACTGTATAATTTCACCACCTTAACAATGGTGACCTAGCTGTATCTATACTAAGATATAGAGGATCAGATGGGATCTGGGCCAGGAGAAAATTCATTCTCGCGTATGCACAAAATTCAGCCCTAACAGCACTCAACATCCAAAAACAGTCAAAATGAGCTTACAAAACCTTCAACTGAAATTGAAGCTAGTTGTTTTATTTTAATGATATTTTTTCCTTGATATTATCAATGACTTTTACAGTATCAATTACTAGGTGGATTACCAAATCAACTTTTGAAACTTGATTTGCTATGCTACATAAGAGATAACCTATGTAGCCGGCTATTTGAAGCATATAGGCAGTGCATGCCTTCCTGGTGTATGCACAACCCACTGGGCAACAAGGCATCACTCCAATAGTTTTTACCATGAGTATTCCAATGAAAGCTTTCTAGGATACAGTACGGTACCATATTTTCATTGAAGCTCAAGATAGAAGCTACATTGCCACAACGGTAACAATAATTGGGTGCAGACCACACCTGCAACAACCAAACAGCCCATTTAGCCATTAAAATATTAGCAGAAAGTGGCTATCATTCAAAAGCATTTACAGACAAGAATGCCAAGTAAAGATACATCACGTAGAAGGCCTAGGACTCACGGTTACAAGGCCTTTATCTTGGAACATGTACTTCAAACCTTCTTGTACAAGTTGGTGTGCTCGACAAACAAGGTCCAGCTTGTTTATGTGATTGAACTGCATAAAGACAAACAATTGCAGTTTTAGAGGGCAAATAACATGAAAGTTCTTTTCTTTTTTGATTTTTTTGGCACTGACATGAAAATTGGATAACCTATTTATTTACCTCAGATGTGACCCTAGATCCAAAAAGCCAACCAGCACCACGTGGACTGACAGCCCAAGTTTCAATCTCCTCAGGGTCACTCCACATAAGATCACAAAAAGGTCCCTCATGAGGAATTTCACAATTTCGTTCAATGACCCTAATCTGCCAAGTAGGGGCAAATACCAATTATGTCATATTTGACTGCAGCTGATAGATACATCATGAATAAAATTTAAGGAACTCTTATCTTTGATGAATTACCACAAAAGAATGTATTATGTCATATTTGAGGAACTCTTAGGATAAAATTTGATCATCAATAATGTATTTATTATAATTGAATTTAGTATTATCAATTATATACTATTTTGATTATCTAGTGCCGTTTCTGTAGAGTGTTTGATTTATGGTTCCAAATTTAAAATATTTACTTTTTACTTCCATTAGGACTGAAACACTATAAGTTTATCAAATATTTACAGAATGCCTAGCATCCATATATAGGCAGGACTTATCCCCTATTCCACTTACACATTATATTGAAGCCAGGAAAGTTGTTCCATATTACTAACCCTTTGGGGGCGCAGGCTACCCCCCCCCCCCCATTGTTTAGGTCCATGAACCCAAAAAAAATAGTAACAATGAAAGATTTTATTGATCAAAATAGAGCGATGATGTACATCAGAGGGGAAGGATGGGCAGCCTCAGCCAGCCCACCCATGATCCTTTCATAGTACAAGTCCCCTGTTTTCCAGAGTGTAATTGCTCCCAAATCCTTTATTATTTCTTTTTTCATCAGCAACTCCTTTATTATTTCTTAGCTTCTCTGATTTTATAGCTATATTTCCATGGTCCCTTCTCAATGTTGCCAATTTGCCCAACCATCCCGTTATTACCCTTAGTCCCCTTCAATTATTAAATTCTCATAACTCGTAGCTTTAGTTTTCTTAGGCCTGCCAAGGCTGCTTTCAGTTCTACTCTAGTCAAGTTCCCACCATCAATAGGACCTGAATATATGAGCAAAATGTCTCCCACATGATTTCTCATCACTCCCCCAATACCTGATGGGACCGGATTGCCTGAACTGCAGTCATCAAAGTTCAGCTTGAAATGTGATGGCTGTTGCAGGCACCATTCCACTTCTACAAGTACTCTGTTTGGTGCAGATTCAGCCAATGTTTCAAAAGTTGTCCTGGAGGCTGACCCAGGTCAGACTGTTCTAAGTCAGCACTCTATACATTTAAATATACATGTATTTATATACATACAATGTGTGTGTGCAAATACATATTTTATCAATAAATAGTGTATAATTATGTTTTACATATAATATATGTATTATTTTATATAAATTTGTGTTTTCTAATTTTTTTTTTTAAACTTTGTATTTATAAAAATATTAAAAATTGCAATTTGAAGCCAAAAAATGGGTTTTTTTTGCAAAAATACAGGGCAAGGTGCCTACGACTCCTTGGGACACAGATCTCGAAAAGTGACCCAAAATAAATAAAAAAAAATCACCCCAATCAAACATCGGAGTGCAAAGTTATGACGTCCGAAAGTTTGCACATACATTAAGTGTGCAACCCACGATCCAGTGACCAGGTCAAACGGTCAATGGTTGAACTGCCTGGGTCAATGGTTTTTGACCAAAGGGTGGGTTTCAACAGAACCAAAACCAGAATCAAGGTCGGGTGACAGTTCGATGGTTCAACCAGCCGGATCAACAGAGGTTGAAAATACTGGATTCAACTTCTTCTTTCCAGTTTCTTATGATGCCATCACTTGTATAAGCATCAAACAAGTCAACAATTTTGGCCCAATGTGCCACCGTGATGCCATCAATGGTTGTTTGTCTTCAAGTGATTTTCCTTATCATTGAAGGTATTAAGCATTAATTTTCTTCCCATTCACACCACAAGTCTATTATGTTGCACAGGTGAAGAGTTTTCAGCAGATACAAAACTCAATTCAACAATTACAGCCAAGGAGAAACATCAAAAAAGAAAAGTGCCACAATATTCTAAATTCCCCCTCTTGTTTCAGAGTATGTAGGATGCAGCATTCAAGAATTACAGCCAAGAAGAAACATCAAAAAAGATAAGTGCCACAATATTCTAACTTCCCCCCTCTTATTGTTTCAGAGTATGTAGGATGTAGCCTTCAACAATTACAGCCAAGATGAAACATCAAAAAAGATAAGTGCCACAATATTCTAAATCCCCCCTCTTGTTTCAGAGTATGTGTCCCAGCTGAATTTCAGCAACTAGTTTGCCATTGTCTCAAACCTTTCCTGCAAAGATACACTCAATCTTTTTCTCCAAATCCCCAGCAAATAGCAAAAGCGATGACACCACAATATTTTAGTCTTTTTCTACTTCCTACTCTAGGCCATTTGGTGAATATATTCCTACGTGTTTTGAAGACAAATGCTGGAGTTTAAGTAGGTGTTTGGGATCGATGCTGTTTCCTCAGAAAACAGTGCCACATCAGAAATCAGTTTTCAGGGAAAATGCCCACTGTTTGGTTGGCCGTTTTCCGAAAAACATTTTCTCAGACCACACCTTGGAAATTGGAAAGGGTGTGGTTTGAGAAAACACCCTTTTTAGTGTTTTCCCGTTTTTCTACTGTTGCTAGCAATGGTGTGCTGATGTGGCATTGAAAAACGTCTGTGGCAGCAACAGCAAAGGTACCAAATAGAAAACCTAAGAAAAGATTTTCTGAGAAAACAGCATGCTTATGCAGCACTGTTTTCTAAGATACGCCTCTTCGGAAGAAGCATCAATCCCAAACATCGGCTAAGAAGACAAGTGGTGGCAATTAGTAAAGCTGTTAGACAGTGTATGTCTTTAGCCCCAATCAGATTGATGTACATATACATTTATTGTAAATGAATAAAAATACATTTTTGTTTCATATTAACATTGGTAAGTTTCTGTGAATTTACCCCCTTAAGCTAGACACTTACGAGACTCGCGTTAGTTTAGAATGTTCTTAGCCGTTGGATAAATTTAGGGAGTTTATCCTGCCAAGGCTGACACTGATGTGTTGCCAAAGAAGTTGGGGCAGCTTGTCTCAGCTGCTAGGGTGAGACCCAAAGCACATATAGTGTGTCTTTGGTTGAAACACTCATCCGGACCACTTTCCAATTATGCCCTGGACCTTGGAGATTGATGGGCAAAATTGAAAAATTACACATAACCCCTAGACTTGATTATAGTACTACACTGGGTATCGGATTGTGCTATATTTGATATGCCAATCAGTGAGATCCATTGAGGGCCAAAACCTGGGTATGTTGGGGCAATCTGAGAATTCACTTAAGTAGGTGATCATAGTGATAGGGATCAACTCCTTTGTCGGACAAAGTGAAAATGTTTGAGATTTGGTTTTGCAAAATATATTTATATGATATATATATAAATGTTTGCAAAAATGTTTGCAAAAGGCTTTAATTCCCAAGATCCATCCGAGCAGATAGTGACTCTGCACCTTGCAGCCAGGGGAGAGGTCATTACCTAATGGGTTTTATCTTACTTAAGTCCATTATCCTTGGATCTTCATAAGATGGTTGAATTCAAAAATCATTTTAAATGTAAATGTTGAGCCGCCCATAGTGATGTGCTCAGGGGTTCACTGCATTTAGCAATGAATTCGGCCAGGCCTTTTCACAGAGGCTAGGCTGAACCCATGTGAGCTTATGTGAGGTCATTGTGGGGTCCCACGCCATACAAATCAAACCTAAATTGGCCAAGCAACACTCTTGGGTCGTGAGCCATATAGCTGATGGGCCTAAAACCCATAATTAATATGATTAATTTAGATGTCACATGATTGCTTAAGCTGATGGGCCTTATCTCTTAATAGAGTCCAGATCCAAATAAAGATTTGGATAATCTCCTAATTTGATTAGGAGAAGTGCTCCATAAAGAGATAAAAAAAGAAGAGGCAAACTGCTCTAGAACAGTAGTCGACTCTGCTCTTTCTTCTTCTTTTGTCTCCTAAGAAACCCTAGTTCGACTACAGCTTTTATGACTAGTAAAGATCAATTTTCTCTCTAATTTTTGCAAGAAAAGTTCAGAGAAATTTCGTGCTCACCTCCCTAGTTCGATCCAAGCAATTGGATTGCAGTTTTGTTGAAAATTGCGTTGTTGAACCGGCTTCAAGATCAAGCTGCACCATCTTTAGTGGAAGCTGGTTTTAGGAACTGATTTAGGCGTGAACTTCCACTTTGAGATCTACACTTGTGGCATCCATATCAAGTATACATCTCCCTCTTTGTTTGGTTTCAAATCTAGTCGAATTCAATGCAAGACCGATCCTAGAAAAATGCAGTTTTTTCTAAACATTAGAGAATACGATTCCCGAAACGATTGGAAATTTTTGAAATTTCACCCAACCATCTAGCATGGTTCGGCCATCCATATGATGGATTCTAAACCTTCCTTCAAAAGCTTCTTCAGATTAGATGTTGATTCACCCAAGATTTGCTCAGATTAAAAAGGAAAATTTAGGCTATGTTTGGTTTGAAGGAAAATGTAGGGAAAGGAAGGGAAAGGTAGGGAAACCTTTACAAACCTTGTATCAGTTTCCCTTTCTTTCCCTACCTTTTCCTTCAAACCAAACATAGCTTTAGGGGAAAGGTTTTGGGAGGTTCTAAATTACAAAATAGTGACATTGACAGCTTTTTTCTATTGGGCCATGTTCGCTTTTCGATTAGTTGCTTATCCGAGTAAATGCAGTTACCTGAGTAAGTTTTTCCTAGGAAACACTTACCCAGGTAAGTGCATTTACCCATGTTCTTTTATTTCTCATGTAAATAAGACAATGCCCATTTTAGCCATAAAAATATATTATTAAAAGGGGCATTATTGCCTCATTCAAGTGTTGGAAACTTTCCCCCTAGGTGGGAAAGTTATTTACCTACCTAGGGGATGGGTATCACTTACTTACCTACCTAGGGGGTGGGCAAGTAAGTGATACCCAAGAAAATAAACTTTCTCTGGTCCCCACATAAATCTGAAAAAAGAGCATGGATTCTTGGTCGATGGGAATTAAAATCCCATTGACCAACTTTCCCCCCTCTCAAAATCCGAAAAAAGAACGCCCCCTTGATGCATCGTTACCTAAAAAGTTTTATACTGTATGTGTATGTGTAGGTA